AAACTCTGATCTTGTGAGAGAAAATGGCTGCTTCAGTGATGCTTTCGTCGGTGACATTGAAACCGGCAGGTTTCACGGTGGAGAAGATGTCGGCGAGAGGATTACCGTCGCTCTCAAGAGCCTCTTTCAAAATCGTCGCGAGCGGAGTCAAGAAGATCAAAACCGACAAGCCCTATGGTTCGTACAAAACACAAAGACTTTAAACATATGTTCGTCGTAATTACACTGTTACCGTTAAAAGTATAGCTTATTCCGTTAAATCGATTTGTCTGTAGGTGTTAACGGAAGCATGGACTTACCTAACGGCCTCGACGCCTCCGGCAGAAAGGGCAAGGTTCGTAAATATTAATTACGGTTTGTACATGAAAACGATGTCGTTTTTCAATGTTTATTCTCTGAAATGATGATGTCGTTTAATATCTCAGGGATACGGTGTTTACAAATACGTCGACAAATACGGAGCTAACGTCGATGGATACAGGTGAATCGTAATAATCATCTTTATAACACTTTGATTTATAGTATATAAAGAATCATAGATGTTGTTGAACAATATTTAATCTCCATAACACTTTTGTTTGTATAAGAATATCATAGAATATGTTTGCAAAATGTTGATTTTAAAATTTTGGGTTTTTTACAGTCCTATTTACAACGAGGACGACTGGTCACCGAGTGGTGATGTGTACAAGGGAGGAGTTACCGGATTGGCGATTTGGGCGGTGACACTCGCCGGAATTCTCGCCGGAGGAGCTCTTCTTGTGTACAACACCAGTGCTTTGGCTCAGTAAATCTTAAAATGTTTAAAGACATGTGTCGTGTACTCATGTTTCTATAAACTGTTCCTGTGTTATTGTTCTCTTCTCTGTAATGTTGTTAAAACTCAGATAATACTTTTTTTATTTTATAAGACTTTTTTCTAGTGTTTGTATATATTCGATCTTTCTCCATTTGCGGCGAATTTGGTACACACAAGAATGAATTTGGATGCAACATATTATAGATTGAACAATTTGGAGGTTTAAATGATAATACTTGAACATGAGTGTTGTTGATTGGAACATTTTGGTGGAACTCACACACCGCGGAAAGATGGATTAGATTCATGAGTCTTGGCTTGAGTTCAGTCATTAGAAATCGTCAAGGGAGTCTTCTTCTTCTTCATGATGTGAACTCGAGGAGGAGTTGCTGCTAATCAAAGGAGTTGATCGATGAACATCTCCATCTAACATCAATAATCTCACTCTCTGCAAAACCATTGCAAAAAAACTTAAACGCATAAAGAGAACGAATCGATGCAAGAGAGTTCACATTCACATTTGTTAAAAGATGAATTTCTACAATCTTGAATGAATGGGATGAGAATGGAAGAAGCAAACCTTTTCGATTTCGTCTTGAAGAGAAGGATTTTCCCTTAAGTGTTGCAGTGCTTTCTCTCTTCCTTGCCCGAGCCTGAAACAGAGATCCGAACACACAAAAGCATATCTCATAATCTGTATATCCTTTTCTTTCACAAAATATATAAGTTTGCGATGTAGAATCCAGACCTTTGGTCTTCGTAGCTGTACCAAGAACCTTTCTTGACAACAACCTCCATAATTTCAGCACAATCAAGAACACATCCCTGCAATTGTAAGTTTAAGTTAAAAGACAAGGAATAACGTTCGTGTGTTGTCAGGGATTGATGATGCATACCAGTTTACTGACTCCTTCCCCAAACATAATCTCAAACTCTGCTTGCTTATACGGTCTTGAAACCTGCAAAAGAGAAAAGGGATAGGTAAAATCACACATATATCTTAAATAATTTGGCATGGATTAAGGACATGTTTTGCTTTGATACTAACCTTGCTCTTCTGCACTCTTACACGAGCCCGGAGACCAATATCTTCATCCCCTTTGCTCTTTAGATAAGTGATTGAGCATTAGAAAACGAGTTCAGTTTCAAAATGCAATCAAAACCACACAGAAATAAACTACAAAACTAACAGAACCGATATCCTTACAGATTTGATCTTCCCAGCAGAACGAATTTCTAGTCGGACCGACGCAAAGAACTTCAACGCAATTCCTCCGCTAGTCACCTCTGGATTTCCGTAGTACACACCAATCTTATTAGCATAAGAGAACAGCAATGTTAGTTCAGCAATACAATATGCTTATATAAGATGGTGAGTGATTAGCATAATTACCTTGTATCTTATTTGATTGAGGAAAATAAGTGTACAACCAGCTTTAGAGGCGTTTCCTGACATTTTACGAAGAGCTTGGCTCATGAGACGAGCTTGCAAGCCCATTTGCTGCATTCCAATCTCACCCTAAGCACGAAGCGGGGAAGGAAACAAATTCAACTCAGGGACGTTCATACAATCAAGAAAGTAGACGTGGGAAAGAGATGATATCCTACTTCAATCTCGGCTCGTGGAGTAAGTGCTGAGACAGAATCAACACATATAAGGTCAACTGCACCCGAACGACACATACGGTCTGCAACTGGTGAGTAGTAACAATAAAGATCATGTTAGTTTACATACACACATACTTTACATGACAAATAACCATCATAATACGAGATTTTCGAATGCTGATTTACTTTCTAGCGCCATCTCGCCATTATCTGGCTGGCACACTATCAAATTTTCTACATCAACACCTAATGCTTTAGAGTATGCGGGATCAAAGGCATGCTCTGCATCAACAAGCATTGCATTGCCTCCAGACTTCTGCACAGTTAGCAAATTATATTTCAGCAACATACTGAGATAATGTAAGAAATTATCTAATCGAGGTAGTTCACAAAAAAAAAAAATAACCTGCACTTCAGCAATTGCATGGAGTGCTAGCGTGGTCTTGCCACTACTTTCGGGTCCATATATCTGCAGTATCGAATTGCAAATCAACGAAAAAAACTGAGATATGATTCTCACTTTACTAAAATTCTATGATGACAATTCTGCAATAATTTCTCAGCAAGTTCATACCTCGACTACTCGACCCTTTGGCAGCCCTCCGCCTAAGGCAAGATCAAGAGTCAAAACACCACTCGGAAAAGTCTCTCTGCAATAAAGACCAACCTTAAATATCACATGGTGGAATCAAGATATGTAGTACCACGCTACTGGACTCGTTGAAGAGAGGAAAGTTATACAGTGAGTATAAAGAAAGACTATCTACAGAGATTCTCACACTAATGCTCCACCAGCACTCCCCAATCTTGTTACACTTCCTTTACCAAACGAGCTGTTTATGTCATTCATAGCTGCCTCTAAAGCCTTTTGCTGTAAACAAAACCAAGAAAACAAAAGTCAGCGAGACAAAGAACAATGTATGCAAGAGAGCTAAGAAAACAGCTCAATGAAAGAAATGAAACTCCTTTCTTTGCTCAAACAAGACAATTCTGGAAATGAAGACAAGATTATAAACAGAGGAACAAGGATATAACAATCTGTGAGTTACAGTAACCAAAGCTCACCAATTTCAGACACAATTCCGACCCAGTGTAGTAAAATGTTAAGAATTTCAGGTCAAAATGAATCAAATAAGGCACTAACACAGACAATTTCAGTATAAACAGACAATAACCAAAGCCAATCCCATGAATGACGACCCAAACCTAATGGTGTTATCGAATTCAGAAAGATGAAATTTACACGGTCGAGGAAGCGAGAATCAGAATCAGGAGAGAGAGCGCCATTGATTCTGTCATCGAATTCAGAACGGACGTTGCTCTGGGGGAGTTTCTTCGTGGCGTAGACGGTGACCGGAGAAAAGAGTCGGCGAGAGTAGCAAGAAGAAAGCTGAAGCGACGGCGAATAAGAACATGGCGTGAAAGAGTAGAGAGGAGAAAGTGGATTCAAGCAAGGATTTAGCTTTAGAGACAAAACTCGGCATGAATCCATTTTTTTTTGTTTTCTGGGTTTAAGCAGAGAGAGTCGAGAAGACGACGGAGAAGAAGAACCTCATATTTTTCCTAAACATTTTAACATTAATATAAAAAAATATATATAGTAATAATCAAAAATAATAAAGGTCTTGTTTTTTGGTCAAGCAATGTCAAAAAAACTCTACTTTTATTATCATTCTCCTGAACTTTCCATTACAATGTTCAGCATCTTGTCCTAAGCTATTGCATCTTCTTGACTATGTAACAATACATGCCAAATTTCTTGCATATAATGTTATTCAAACCATATTTTAAACAAAAAATTGCGCTTAAGCAACCGTGAAGAAGAATCAGATATACTTATGGTTTCACTGATAAGAAAGTTTGCTAATAAGAGAGTTCATATTGAAAAGCATAGCATGTGATTTATTTTCCTTGCTACAATATAAGTGATTCGGCGCACGAACTCGTTAAATTCAAACACTATGTGAAATGCATTGGAAAATATTTTTAGTTTGGCTTATGCGCGCACAAGCTTTTTTCATTCAAATCCATCATGTGAAACACAATGGCCAAACTCCATAGCCAATTGGACCACGCACAATGACTTCGTATGGAAATGGAACGAACCCATAACATATGCGAACTATGGCTTAAGAAACTATGGTTTCTCAACCATCCCACTATTAGACCCAAATTTTACAAAGGCAAACTGATATCATATTGCAGCAAATTGTAAAACCGAATGAATTTGAAAACACCCAATAAACTACTGTAAGCGGATTTGGAATCGAGGTGAACAAAGTTGAGATTAATGTCTCTCTTCTTAATTCTTAATTCTTTAAACGCCCGTAGTGTGCCGGTTTGTCCTTGTAAATTATGGATCTAACACCCACTACCCACACACGGGTTGAATCAAGAGGTGTATAGTACTCATGTCGTAACATTCATTATAAGCTTGATGATAATGCAAACCAGTAAGGCACATCGAGATGGCTACACCAAAAGTAGAAATCATTGAAACTATATGAATTGCAACTCAGAAAATGATGAGACAAACTATGTACCTTTCATGTTATTCCTTTTAAAATTCATGTGGATGCAAGAAAAAAGAAAAAAACACACGTTGATAGGTGCATGTGCAAATGGATTATAATCTGCAAACAAAAGGACATGATTAAACCCTGGTTTAATCTAGAGTCGATCCTGAAATGGACACAACACCATATAAAGAGAGACACACACATGTTGCCAACACTCAAATGTTCATACATATATACAAAGGAATTAAGTAAAACACATAACAATCCATAACTCGAAGAACATTGAAAAGACAGTACTGTGTATAAATTACCAACCGCTCTCTTTGAACCGAGGAGAGATCTCAAAATGTGAAAAAACAACTTTCTTTTAACCGAAATACAACGAACACAAATGAAAATGGAGGTAGAATAATACTACAAAGACAAATAATCTTAGTAAAAACATAAGATCATCGATTAATGCTGGTGATCATTTCTATGGTTTGAGATTTTTTTGCAAGCTGTAGATGATTTATAACAGATAATTTTCGTAAAGTTATTTCATTTTTTTTTTTTGATAAAGAAAGTTATTTCATTTTTCAGATAATAAAAAACAACCCCTTATATCACGTGATCGATTTATTAATGATTTTCATGCTTTTCCTACCTCCAACTTTTTTTCTGTATTATTATAAAATTTTAAAAGTATTGTTTCCAAGATTTATAAGATAAACTTTTTGGAATTTTTCCATTTACATGTGTATAACAACAGATTAGAATATTGTTTTAGGGAAATTGGTTAAAATAACTTTAAAAAAATGAGAAATTAAAAAAAATACCACTTTTCAAATGCCACTTTACAAAAATATTACATTTTTGAAATCTTTACAAAAATGCCACACTTTTAAAATCTTTACAAAAATGCCACATTTTCAAAATTATTTTTTCTTTATATTATTTATATTTGGGTTAATTATGTTCTATTTAAGTTTAGTTTTGAGTGTTTATGGAGTTTTAGGTGTCAAAATATTT